GCTTTGAGCAACCTGGTCTAGTGGAAGGTGTCCCTGCCCATGGCAGGGGGGTTGGAACTAGATGATCTTTAATGTCCCTTCCAAACCAAACCATTCTATGATTCTATTCTTTTGTCACCTCACCACCACCAGGACATAAGGATGCAAGCTCTGCAGCCTAGGGTAGGAACCACAGCATGCCAAAGCTGACCTCAACAGCTGTCTTGTTGAACATCGGCCCATGCATTATGGGCAGAACAGGACACGCAAGCGTGAACAGAACTGGTTTCCAGGGCTTTAAGTGAAGCAGAAAGAAGCAGGGAAGCACAGAATAAGAACTGAAAAAAGCTAGCTAATGCATCAAGCAAAGATGGTTATGTAGTAGTAGCAGGAGGCTCTTGGGCTTAGTCACCATGAAATGATGGAGTTCTCAATGCTGGATGAAATAAGGAGGGGGGTCAGCAAGACTGCTACCATGGACACTGGTTGAGAGTCCCTTGGGAGACTGTCCTGAAGGACAAAGGGGTCCAGGAAGGATGGTCATCCTTCAAAAAGGAAGTCTTAAAGGTGCAGGAGTGGGCTCTCCCCATGTGCTGTAAGAGGAACCATCAGGGAAGACAACCAGCCTGGCTGAACAGGGAGCTTTTGCTGAGACTCAGAGAAAAAAAAGAGAGCTTACCCCTCCTGGAAGAAGGGGCAGGCAACTCAGGAAGAGTACAGGGATCTTGTAAGGTCATGCAGGGAGAAGATTAGAAAGGCTAAAGCCCAACTGGAACTTAATCTGGCCACTGTTGTGAAAAACAAAAGCGTTTCTACCAATACATTGGCAGCAAAAGGAGAGCCAAAGGGAATCTCCATCCCTTATTGGATGCAGAGGCAAACATAGCAACAATGGACAAGGAGAAGGCTGGAGGAACCGAATAACACCTTTGCCTTGGTCTTTAACAGCCAGAGCAGTTATCAGCCCCCTGAGCTGGAAGACAGGGATGAAGAGCAGAATAAACCCCACCCAGAGTCACCATCCCTGGAGGTGTTCAAGGAACGTGTAGATGTGGCGCTTGAGGTCATGGTCCAGTGGGTGTGGGAGTGTTGGGTTGTGGCTGGACTGGATAATCTTAAAGGTCTTTTCCAACCTCAGTGACTCTGTGCGTAATTCTATGGACATTGGAGATGCAGACAAGAAGCAGTGCTGGAAACACGCACTTTGAAAGCAAGAAGTAGCTTTAAGGAGATGTTAGGACAACATGACAGTGGTATTAATTATTCTACATACCTCCTAGAGCTGGATTCTTCCACAATATGGATAATCCTTCCAGGAAGATACAGATGAGGATACTGAGGCGGTGAATTTGCATGCAATTCATCCTCAAGGGCATTGTATGAAGATGATCGACGAACCATTAAGCTCTCCTCAGCCAGGAGTGGCTGGGTGAGGGCATCTTGGTTCCTACCGTCCAGCTCAGTTGGGAAGTTATCTGGATCTCCTCCAAATACTTCGTACCAACATCCACGCAGCAAAATCTGGTACTGGATTCAGAAAGAGAAACAATCAAACAGAGGCTTGGCATCTCTTCAAGTAACTTACTCTAGTTGTGTGTTTACATACACCCCATCGGAAACTGCGATTAAGAGATGAAAAACGCCTGTGTGCACATGCTGCCCAAACTTCCTGTTTGATAAAATTTCCTTACTGAGTTTTCCCCAAAGTACTATCACGTCACTGATCTCTGACTCAAGCCCCTAGTAACACTATGGAAAACATTACAACCTTGACCAGCTGAATGATTCTGTGTGGATTCTGCTCTGCAGACTTAATTTTTCCTCCACTCTGTGACTACTACAGGTCCGTTAGCTTATTCTGTACTTAGGGCATCACCCGGGCCCTCTGTATGACTCCTGATCCTGGGACTACACAGAAAGCTTGCGAGCACAGCAGATTTAACTGTAGGTGTTCAGAAATGGCAGTTGTGAATCTTGAAGCCACTTCTCTATACCTCCAGTAACATCTTGCACGACACCAGGCTGTTCCAGCGCTTTCAAACCTGTTCCTCAACCAATACTAAAAAGAAGGGGTAAGCAATTAAGACCATAACAGAGAAATTCCAAATGAATTCTGAAGGTAACATTTAACTAACTAATTTCTTTACTTACTGATACTACATGGTTATTGAAGTAATTTTATTGGTTTTTCATCATTTTAGCTTTTTTTTTTCCCCTTTCATTTTCATTCTTAAAATAGTTTATCAGCAAAACTAGCACACAGATCAGTTCAGGTCTTGGATGTGTGCACGGGTATCCTCCAGACCCAGTAGAATCTGACCTCCCAGCAAGACGGCTTTATAGGATAAGAGACTACCACAAGTGTCCCCGAATTAAAAACAAACACTGTTGTTCCAGAACACCATTGTAACTCTCATCATTAAGATCAAAATACACACAGTATACTGAGTCCCTTCAGTAAGGCTGGTTTTAACCCAGCCAACAATTCCACTGACTTTTAACCAGGAACTGCATGTAGTTACCTTGGGTCTGTTGCAGTTTGCCACAATTCTCACTATTCTCCTCTTCAAATCCTCCATGTTGGGCATACTTAACCTGTTAAACACACAGAACAAAGTAGAGCAAAGCCACCTATTCCCTGCAGTCTAACTCATCCCTGCCAGAACAACTGGAAATGTTTCCATCTCACCTTGCTACAAGGTCCTTTCCAACAATGACTGAAACAATGAAGTGCTTAGTGTAATCTGCAAGTGATTTGCTTAAGGAAAAGAAACAGACACTGTTTAGATACACTGGAGAGACAGGCACACTTTCCTTTGATGGTGACCATTACCATGCAGTAAGGATGCAAACCCCCATGTGTGCTCAGCGCAGCACGCTTTCAGACCTGCTTGCTACAGACGGCAGAGTAACCTCAGTGCTCATTGCAACGGCGGGTGTAGATGTCAAACAGGCCAAGCTAGACTAGTCAGGTGAGCCTTTTATTTCCAAGGCATTTATTTTACACTCTAATCATTCTATCTGACAGAATTCACTAGTTCTATTTCATTCTGTAATACTCCCCTAAGAACTCGACTGTAACTCAAGTTGGAGCAAATCTAATTCCAGTGGGAATGTACGAACAACCTCTGCACACAGTCAAGCCTGGAGCTACCTAATGTGTTTGTCAGCTACCCTAAAGATTTCTACATCTCAGACACAGACCAAACAGCACAGGTCTCATGTTTACCTTAAAAGTCCTCCTGGAGGAGAAAAGGCATAACATCTCAGTGTTGGGAAGGAGTTCCTCAGCATGATTGCCAATATAGAAGCTGTTCCACCACCCAAACTGTGACCAACTATCACAAGTTTATATTCCTGTAGACAGAAAGAGAAGACAAACACAGAAGAGTCTTCATGTAACTTTTCTGGCACACCAAATCCTCTGGAAGGAAACTTACTGGAGCAGTGGTGAAAGCCTGGTTTAAAATGCCATCGTTGATCAGCTTTCGATAGATGTAATTTGCAGCCTGAGTTATTCCCTACAAAACAGCAATTCAGGTTAGAAGAGAAGGGTACATGCAACCTGAAGCGTGAGACGCTTGCAGGTTTAAACACAGCATCACAACAACTTTCTTTTTGCGAAGCTGCTGTCCTTTCCCACACTCCCGACAGAGGCTGGGACGTAACCAAGTGGTCTGGTACGTAACGGTTAAGAAGTTTTTGGAGTATTTAATAAGGCTGTACAGTCTGACACAAGGATTACAAATTCCACCTGGCAGTTCCAGAGGCAGTATTTGATGCAACAACCAAGTCACTGCAATAATTAGTGCAATCCATCCCACAAGGAGAACACTCTTCTGGCTAAATAAATAATCCCAGGTGTAACTGCTGAGTAACAAACAGCCACAGGCTGCACACACCTTATGCACAAAGCCATTCTCCAGAACATCCTCCAGTGTCAGGTCTTCACAGTCCGCTGACAGATCAGTGAGAATGTCCTGTAAGCAAGACAGCTTTTCTCAGACACCTCTGCAGGGCTTCATGCCCCGTGGGTCGCGCTCCGCTACTCAGCATTGTCACCGGCCACTGCCAAGCCAGCTTCCAGGTTTGGAAGCAAAATAACAACCCACCCCAAGGCACCACCCAAGCAAACATACACAATGATCACAGTTCTGATTTCAGAAACTCCTTCCAAGCTGCAAACACAGAGGTTACGAATGCACCTCCACTTAGAGTGAAAAGGAATTGCCACTGTCCACCCTCCACGTTCCTCCAACGGCACAGGGAGTACTACCCATCCAAGGGCAGGAGGGCTTACAACTTAAACCTGGAACGATCACACCTGTGCGTGCACTGTTTTCACGTGTTCCAGTGCAACACTATTTCCTCTATATACTAGGAGCCCGTCCATTTCTATAAAGCCCACTATCTCTTTCAGCTGGATGATACCTCAAAAGACAGAGTTCCTCTCACAGCAACCACAATAGCTTCTTTTCTGTGATCCAAAGCAACAAAAAATGGAATCTCATAGATCTGGAGGGGAAAACATAATCAGTAAAGACATCAACTTTTTAGACGAGTAAGCATTTGTTCTCATCTTCTGAAAGCTCTCTTACTAAGCGCTCTTCATTGTATTATGGAAAGAAGCTGAATTATTTTCTCATCAAGTTAGTGTAAGTGTCTTTATTGCAATGCTGAGGCAGATTTATGTTCATGGTTTTGGGGCTGTTCCTTCGCGTTAGAAAAAAACCCAGCAGAACTGAGCTGGTATTTTGGGGCCTGTTTTCCTTTGGCTTTGCATCTCACACATTACAAATGCTGAAGGCAAAGTAGAAACTTCACCCCTTGATTTCACCAAATTAACAACTACGTTTTTTGCTGAATGCCTGTCCAGATTGTTTACCTTGTTATGAAAACTGATATGAATGAAGTCTCTGTACTGCAGTCCTGTTATTTTTAGGATGGATCCAAAGTGAAAGTTATGACGATCACTGCCAGTTATATCAGAATCTGTTGGTCTATTTCCGCAACTAACAAACACAGAAGAGAGAAACTTTCATGTTCAAATTTTTTCGGTTTCCTTTCCAGGAATCAAACTCAGTTACATTTGCAGAAGGATTTCTGCCAGGAATCAAACGCCCTTTTTAAACTGTAAACAATTTTTTTGATACAAGATGTTCCATCTGCCCACAAATCTGGTTTTGCCTGAGCAGCATGCCATTGGTTTTCAGTTCACGGGCTGGCAAACACACCATCGCTACAGGACCGTCAGCGGAGCAAACAGCGACACAAGAAACGAATGCTTAAGGTTACAGGCCAATGACAGAAAACAGACGAGCAAAAAGGGATTCACAATAAATTCTGCACAGCAGGCTTCTCCCACGTTTCATCCACTGTATTTTGCAGTATTTTTTTCCAAGTCAATTATATTCCAGTTTGTTAAATAATTTCATGCTACCAATTCAGGCATGGTTGCAATCACAAAACCCAATGGCCACTCAAATACAGAGTAATCCTACACAGCACTATGCCTACTTCAACACTGACTGTAAACTTTTTTTTTTTTTTTTTGAGTAAAGTGGGCAAAGGGAATAGAACGGAGGCTGGAGGCGCAGGTAACCTTTGCTAATTCCTGTAAGACAGGGAAAACTGCTGATACACTTTTATAGCTACACACACATGTGCCCAAAATGCAGTTCTAAAAAGCTTCACTTTAAAACATGTTCGGTTTAACTCAAGTTCTTCCTTTGTCATTTTGCTAAATTAATTTTATTTTCTTAAGCAAAAAAAGCTATTCTGTCTCTGAGGGTAGAAAGATGTTGGCAATTCATTTCTACCCTGATGTCTGAATTTGTTAAAGATAACTCTACCAGTCAGGCTCACGTACTCCCAAGAGTGATCATTTAAGGTCCCTTCCAACCCTAACCATTCTATGATTCTATGATTTAACGCAACAAAAATGCTGCTATTAAAACTATTTTATTTCTGCTAACGCTAGTTAAATAAAAGGAAGCTGTACTGTTTTAAGCTGTTGATTGAACCTACCAGTCACCATTGAGCTTACAAAGTGCAGTAAAGGGGTTGGTGTATATGTAGTAGGGCCAGCCATAAGCAGCTGCAGCAAACAGCATATAGTGAGCGGCATTCTCCAGTTCGATATCCAAGTCGTCTGTCTGAAAGGACACGGTGAAAGAAGAGGAAAGAGAGAGGGGAAGAAAGGTGTGTTAGACAGCCTCAGAATAAAACCTGAACACAGACTAGTGAAAAATCAAGGCATGATGAAATACACACGATCCACAAGGAAAACCTCAGGGCCTAAGAGGAACTAAAAATAACCACTCGTATTCCAGGAAAGAGTCTGTTTATTTATCTAGCTAGACAGCTCAAGAATCTTGAAAAGCTCTCATTAAATTAGTTTCTTTTAATACTTATACACGGATAAGCTCAACGCTGAAAACAACATTCACTCCAACAGAGGAATGGTAAAGGGTCTGTAGCAGATCTCTCCAGTAGGACAGTTACAACATGACCCGCAACATGCTGGCTCAAGTCAAAAGAAGTTCACAGAAATGCATTGGTTGAAGTAGAATTATAGATTTCTATGAAACACAGGCCAAGAGGAGGCAAAATAAATTACAAAGGCAGTTTGCCACAGAACACGAGCAAAAATCCATGAGCACTCTGTAACCCATCAACTGCAAGCATTTAAACAATGCTGGGTTTGCTTCTTACCTTGTGTGGACATTTGCAGCAGGCGTAATTTAAACAGACCACAATACTAGAAGACTAGCTTTTCAGTTCTATGCAAACAGTACTAAATATTTTCCCTCTGTTCCCTTTCTCTCCCAGCTCTTCAGCAACAATCAGATGTCCTAAGCGGTTCGTTTTTCTACTTTATTCCCCATTCACGTAAGTTCCACTTCTGCAAAAGCAGGCACATGTTTTGACTGCAAACTCATCAAGATGCTTTCACTGCATTTATTAATAATTTAAGTTTTTGTGAATTTTTACAGTAGTGTTTAATTTTCTTATGTAAAACCAACCCCCAGCAACAACCAACCCTTGCAGAGAGAACGGTACTGCAATTTGATGTAGCACCACCTCAGAGTGGGTGCACCAAGGCTGCAGCACCGCTATCTTACCACACGAGATGATGGAGAATGACACAGGACTTCTTCAGGCTCTTTTGGGCAACTTTCCATTTTATCTTGCTCTTGATGGAGCAGAATCAAACCAGCTGCTATGTCACTTGGCACCAGATCAGTGTCCTGCACAAAGAAATGAAGGGGCGCCTAGAACCATCCCACACCTCAACATGGCAAAACTCTCTCGTAAGAAAACGCAGAAGGAATTCTACTTTTCCAGTATGTGTAAAAACATTTCACTCAGAGACCAGGTGCACTGGAGACACAGGTCCCAGACACTTATTGGTCACTGCTCTCCATCACTACGTGACAAGCAGTATGTGAAAAATCCTCTATACCGAGGGCGGCTAAGAAGGATTCCACACAGGAGAAGGCCGAAGGGTTTATGCAGCTATCTGGGGCGGTCACCTCTCCGTATGACTTACACCCTTTACCCCACAAACCACTGAGTAGGCTGTAGCAGTGAATCAGCACGCCCAAGTACCGCTTCAAAAACGAGAACTCGTCTTGAGACCATGACTAAATTTCAAAGTCAGCGCTGAACGCTGACTGCCCAAGCGGCAGGCGACATAAATCCGAGTGAAGTAAACACGGTGCATACCCCACTCTGGCAGACGCTCTCCGTCTGCAAAAAGCAGCTTCCTGCACATGCGCACTCTAGGCTGGTACGTGCTCAGAAGCGGCCTGGAATGGGAAGACTGCCTGAACATACTGTGGGGCTCAGCTAATTTCACAGTCAGAAAGCAGTCTGCTTCTTTGCTACAGGTATGACTCCTTACTCATCACCAGTAGGAAAAACACCTCGATCCTCACATACTGAGGAAAACTCACCCTTGCTCTCCTGACTAGATGCTGACCTAAGGAGAAAGAATACGGTTTTCTCACAGCTCTTTATGCTTGTGAAGGGAGAGAAACCTTTGTTAAAGGGAGGGAAAAGTCACTGCTGTATACCCTGTATGAGAATCGCCTTTTATGTTGGAATTGGCATATTCAAAACCTGATTTCAAGGCACAGGGTAGCAGGGACTTCTGGCTGAACAAACATATATTTGTGTTGCAACACTTGCAAATTCAGAGTTAGTCAAAAAAACAGAACATACAAAAAGCTTTCCATCTTACTGAAAAGTAGGTGCGGAAAAGCTCTGCGATACTTGTAAAAGCCACTCGATGGTCATCATCTTGCACAATACAACAACACAGTAACCTGATTCTTTTTTCCCAGACTCGGGTGGCCGTGTTCTTCACATTATATAGCAACTGCCCTGACTGACTGCTTTCCAGGTTCCGATTTACACTATCGGTGAGGTAAAACGTCTTTTTCCCCCCAAGCGGATCAAAGACAATTACAACTCCAATGATGGTAAAGACGATGATAATCCAGCTGCAAAACAGAAGGAAGTGTGATAAAAAGACTGTGAAACCAGATAGTTCTGACAAATATGCGAGACAACTACAGATTCTGACAGACACAAACCAAAGTTATGCAAGAAATACTGTATGAACACCACCTGCTACTGCCTTAGGGGTGCGTGTTTTGTTACCGGGCTTTCAGTCCACTAGGCACAAGAAGTCTGTCAATTAATTTCACACAGGGCCCCAAATTCAAAGTCACAGCCCTGTGCTTTGGAAACAGCAACTGAAATGTGCGAAGGCTCCCTTCTGTGCTACAGCTTAAGTGATCTAGTCACTACCCTCTTCACGTTTATCCAGCTTACTATAATCCCATCTATCCCTCTTAACCTTTCTGATCTTCACCCCCTTTCCCTCACTCTAGCCTGTGCTCTCTCAAGGCAAGCAGCTTGAGCTTGTTTAAGGAAGGATACCAACTCATTCCAGCTGTCTAGATTTAAAAATTTCACACTGAAAACTCTTCTATGAGAAACCAGAATTATTTATAAAGAAATATCCATCTCAAACTGCTGGAAAAGCCTTCAATAACCACATACAAAACCCATTTGCCATTTCACATACCCTATCAAGCATAGATTTGGGGGGAGGCAGCTTTACCTCGCAATAACTGTCCCAATGATGACATTTATCACAGTCTTCTCGCAGTGCACACTGCTGTCTGACACCCACACAGCTCCCACAACAGCCCAGACGAATTCAGGCAAATAGAGAAATAGGCGAGTGTAAAGTAGCTTGGGAAGTGATTTCCTTGGGCCTGGATTAGAAATTGTTCCTGAAATTACAAGGAGAATTTAAAACAAGAACTATTTATGAACGCATCTTAGGTGTATAAAATCCTACCTGGATACATGAACTTTCTGAGCTTCACAGGAAATAAGAAACTTAATTGAAGCTATAAAGTATTTTCAGACTAATGGAGAGCTATCACTGAAGCTGAGGAAAGAAAAACCACCATGGGTTTATGGCCAAGATTCTCAGAATCCTCTCTACTAATACCCAAAAATCACTCTTTAGAAAGCAGTAGTTCTGCACTGAACTTGAGGCAGCATAACGAAGCATGCTGGACCGCTGGCTCACCTACAGCACCTTAGGACTGTTGGTGCCGCCTATTATTATTATTATTATTAGCTTCCAGTTGGGCAAAAATTTCATTTTTAGATGCTACTTTGCTGGGCTACAATGCAGTTCTGTTTACCAAGTCACCAAGTAATAAATTCATTCACATTTTTATTCAGAACAAAGCAGGACCATTACCAGGACAGTATTTCTTAGACTGCTTCCTGTATTGTTAGCTTGGGAACAGCCTACTGCCTCTAGCAATCTCAGCCAACAAAAAAGGGGGCAATTCTTGGCCAACACATCTCCTCAAACCAGTCTGTTGACTGCAGGGCGATGAGGCGGCGGGGTGTGCATGCTCATGTGTAGGCAGGATAATTTGTAAAGGCTTAAGGCACTGCAGAACAAAACCAATTTTGGAAACAATTTTCCAGTTGTAAAGCTAGAGTTGACATCCAGCGGCAGAGCTGTTTAAAAAGCCCCTGATCCAGTGGTTGCTTTTTCCCATTTCCAGGTTGTAGCTCACACTGTTATCAGCATGGTTGCTTACAGACATGGCCAGATGGAACTGTGGTTCCTGAAAACACCTTCTTTCCTTTCCCAGCACCACATCCCAGTGTAGGAGTTCTCCAGTCAGGTTCACACTGGCATCACTAAAGCCCGTGCCAGAGCAGTGCAAGGGGTGGTGCAAGAACCGTTGCTCCACACATTACAGCCACACTCTCACCATTAATTTTCTTGGAAATTCAACCTCAGAATTCTTCCACTGCTTAGTTATAACAGCCTTGTAGCTGCACTTTTAGACCAAACAAGGCTCTTTTCTCTCTGCTATTTACAGTTACATCTCTTGCCTCCTCAACTTTGATATAAATAGCATAACTTGGCTAATCTTCCTCCCCCTCCTCTGGAAACTGTAGGAAAACCAGGGGTTAGATTCAAGGCCACGATATCTTTCACATCTCTGTTCTGTCATAGTTTCCCTTCATGCACTCTTTATGCTTCTTTCCACTTCAATAATTTAAGTACTTTTATTTACCACATGTTGTGAGAACCAACGTATTAGAAATTGCAGGGTCTCATCTATTACTCCAGGGACCAGACACATATTTGAAACTAATCTTCGCAGCATTACATTGATAATGAGGTGCCTCACCAGGGAAAAAAAAGCTTTCATGAATTTTTTAACCCAAAAATGAACCACTTCTACATGCACAACATACTTCTGCTTTGCCATTCACTTCGAGCTCTAAGTCCCACTCTGTTTTACAGTACTTATTGCATTTCTTTTACTATGACACTACACAGATCACTTTCCTACATGTGTTTTTTCCCCAATCAACCCACTGCAACTAATGAACTTTCACAAGACTAGATCTCCCTATGCAAGGCAGGTTTAACATGATACTTCAGATAAGAAACTGATTTTGGATAAATTCCCCTAAACTCCTGTCAGAGAGGTTGAGCAGTCATCCATTGGAGGTCATCACAGAATCAATCATAGAATGGTTAGGGTTGGAAGGGACCTTAAAGATCATCTAGTCCCACCCCCCCTGCCATGGGCAGGGACACCTTGCACTAGACCAGGTTGCTCAAAGCCACATCCAGCCTGGCCTTGAAGACATCCAGGGATGGGGCATCCACAACAATGGATTAATGCCGTACACAGAAGTTTTCAGGATGCTCTGATGGCAACAAACATCTCACCTTTAGCTGCACTAAGCTACTGTGTCCATTTATTGTTTTAGATTTCTGACTGATGGAGGTAATACCGTTAAGGCAAATATACTGACAGTTTCTCAAGTCTGACTGCCATTAAAGCACTTGACTTTTTGTGCACTTTTAATGCCAACTCCAGATTAAAAAAACCCATATATAGTACCATCCTACTAGACAAATATAAAATATTGCTATTAGCTACCCACCTTGCATACTGATGTACACAAGAGCAGATAACGCACATATTACAGAAGCCAGAAGAACGAGGAGGACAAGTAAATAGCTGTGCAGTAATCCTCCCCCGGGGCAGTTAAACTGCCCCTTATGAACCGTGTAGAGAGCAAGAATTCCAACCCACCTGCAGGAAACAAGGTAATAAAAGTCACCGTTGGAAGGGAAAAGCGCATACTGCAAAGCGACCGCCGCTAAGCTGATTCCATCGTAATGAAAGCATTCCACAAAGATTAACAGAAAGGGCCATGTGATAAAAGGGACTTGTCAGAAGGAAAGGACTGTACAAATGCTCAGCAGAAATTGCAGCAAGGTCGTCTGCAGACCGAGCAACAGGCTCCCTTTACGGTGCTACTCATCTCGGTGGGTCCCAGGGAAGCTATGCTGGTGTAGAGGAAGGCATCAGCATTTTAATTCGCGGAGTAAAGAAACCACACCAGCACCGGTCTGCGATCAAGCACAGCCAAGCGGTTACGGTTCCGGGCGTGCCGAAGGCAGCGCGTCCTGCGCTGCGGGATTATGCAAACCAAGGGCACCTGTCACACAGCCGCCGCTT